TTGATTAAAAAATTAAATGCCTTGGGGAGGGTGAATAGCAGCATAAATCTGTTTGATGTTTATGTCAACAAGGTTGCCAAAGCAAACAGCACGAACATCTGTCCATAGCGTCGGCTGGAAAATGCTGCAAATGGGGAAACATTTTAATTGTGAGCAGTGCTCCACGGAACTCCCCATGTCTTTATTTATTAGGCTGATAATATCACCCCAACATATGAACTTTATGCAGCACATATAAATAATTCATGGATTAGCAAATAAAGAGATCTGGAATCTGTACACAGAGATGGCTGTTGCCAATTATCTCACTTGTGCAGAGCCAGACCCTTTCAGCTCCCATCGCTTGCAGCTGCTCTTTTAAATCATTCATCAGTGCTTAAGAGATATGCTGGTGGCACTGGCAGATAGTATTTGAATTTTCATTGTTTACACATTGTGAATTTAGCTTCTGGTCTGAAATTATCTGCAACATTGAAGCCTTTGAGAATATAGATGAGAAGAATGAGGCAATTCCTCTTTTTATTCTTTTTTAACTCTTCTATAATTTTGATTAGCTTTTCTTCAATTTTACTTCATATTCTTTTTATAATCACTACTTTCATTTTAAAGGTGTATTAACTGATATAATTCCCTATGCTGTTTAGATCATGAAGACATCAGGAATACTCTGGGATATAAAAAGTATTACAAAACAGATGTCTGGAAAATATTTTCTTCAAGGTTTTAAAATGATTTTCCATTTTTATTTTAGAAATCTTTACCTTATCACCTAAATATCTATATTTGCTTCTTTCAGTTCATGTTTAAGCAAAACCCTCTCGGAAATAAGACTAAAAGCTGCTTAAAAATTGATGAAAAACCATGGCCAGTGGTTTTTCTTATCAAATTATTGTGGCACTGAGTTTTTGTGCCCTTTCAGATCATGATGGGTAGCACTTCCCGGATGATAAATTTGCCCGTTGTCATTATAGCAATATAGCTCAATTTACTTCTTGCATGGATAATTGCAGTAATGGTTTTAAAGTCAAAGGCCTTATGATAAACTCAGACTTTCAGATGTATTAATTGAAAATCTAATTCATGTAACTAGAGTCTTGTGCAGCATTATTAACCATGCAGCCCTCTGTGATGTACAGAGAGTATCTATACAAAGAAGTTCCATCAATAGTTTTTCTCCTTTCTCTTAAGCTATAAATAAAGAAACAACACTCAAACTTCTGCCAGGATTCTGGAGCTGGCTGGCACAATGCTGGGGGCAGGAGTGGGGAGTGGAGTCTGCAATGGCATTCAGGTACAGCCCATCCCACTCCTGACAGGGGTGCAGAGAGGGATAACGGGGGCCTGTATCCTGCCACCTCTGAAAACTTGGGTGGAGGTGGCAGGGAACATCAGTGCCAGGTCCCACACCTTGGAGAGTGTCACAGCCCTGCTTGTACCAACCCCTCTGGGGCAAGAAATCCAACAGAATCCTCTTCACCATCTCATGCAGAGAGTGGGCTGCCTGTGATTTTGGGAACAGGCGTGAGGTTCTAAGGTATGAACTGGGTCTTACCTTTGCAAAGAAGTGCAAAGCAGCTCAGTTATCTGCTTTGCTTTCTTAAAGTGGAGCACTTTGAGTTTTATCCTTCAAGGATCCCAACACTCCTGTGCTCTCAGGACCTCTGTGAGCAAGAGGCAGAGCATTCACAAGGTTTCTGAGGAGGGCAGGTAGGCACAGGGCGAGCATCAGTGCAGATTAAAGAACAGAAGCAGCAGAGCCCCCATCAAAGCCTGTTTGGATGAGCTCTGGAGGAAGGAGACACGGAGCAGGGATGTCCTCACCCTGCTTCTGTCAGCTCCCAGCAGCTCATTGAACAAATTAGGTTTCCCTCTCAGATCTGCACATGACAGTGGATGGCATTTAGCAGATGGCATGTGTAATGGGACTGTCACACCAACACAGGTTTAAAAATAAAGCTGGGGAGGCAGTTAATGAATATACAATTCTCCTTTCAAGGAATTCTTTCTGTCCCTGTCAGGCATTAGGCACTCAGCTTGTGAGTGTTGAAAGACTTCTGATGTGTGTGCAGTGAAAGACATAGTCTAGCATGTAACTGGGTTGTTTTACTTTAAAAACTGGCATTGAAATAAGCAATTTATGTCATTCCTAAAAAAGTGACTTTTTCTTCTTGATGACTTTCAGCCTGCTTGCAAGTGAAATGCATTCTTTAACTGGAGTGTTATCATTGAGAATATTTAATATTAAGAGTAATCCTTCTCACAGAGATGATTCTACTCTGTAGTTTTCTATGTTTACTATTTTTCCTTGTTTGTTAAAAATAAAAATTAGGCAAGTCAAAAATTTACTTTTCCAAGGATACCTATTTTTTTTTTTTTTAATTTCATATTATCTCAAACTGAATATCTTTATAAAGGACTTTGCTTGAAAGCATTGATTGACTGGGGAGATGGCACAGTAGCAGTAGTTAGTAGTAAGGGACTAACACAATATATAATACATGTAATTTTCTAAACTACACACTAGAATTTCTCTTTATTTATTAGTTTTTTACAACTTTTTCAATGCCAACAGAAAAAAAAAAGAAAAATAAATAAGAAAATAAAAGGATTATATGTATTGTATTTCTCTCTTTATCCCTTTCTTTTTGTTGGTATTTTGGTGTTAATTAAAGTACTGCTCTAGCTCCAACTGAAGCCATTTGGGAGGATTCCTTTTATTTTCAGTGATGATTTTATCATGCCCATGTTTATTAGGTTTGCTGCTTTTCCAGCAGTTTGGCTTCAGGGACTGCAGGAGAAAAGCAGGGCAGATTTATAAACAAATATGGTCAGCATATCAATGTATATCAGTAGGAGAAGGGTAAATTCAGCTAAATCCTGGTGAGTAAACCTGTTTTCCTTAGTGCATTATAATCCACCTTCCTGCATTCTAAAAAATGGTGCTAACAAAAGAATTGGATTGTCAGGAGAGGAGATTCTCAATTACAAGGAAATAAAATCAGGCTACCATATTAGTCAGCTTAATTGAAAATAAAATCTTTATCTGCTTTTTCTCTCTCTGTATAGGCAAGGTCTGGATGAAACACTCTTGACTGCCTGCAATGGGATGTGGGTTCTTGGCAGCACAGGAAAACCACTGACACAATTACAGCACCTTAAAGTTTTTCTTGCTCTCAAGAGCTCATTTCATGTACTAAACCAGTATGATTGGCTCACAGGAACCTGCTTTTGTTTCCATTTGTGTGCACACTCCCAGTTCCAGCATTTCAGGGGAATTTCTCAGCCAGACAGACACAAATTGCCGTTGCACAAGTGATGGTCCCACAAGATTTTCTTGTAGGTTGAAGGACTTAAGAAGGCAACTTAAAAGGGCTGAAATCTCAGTGAATATCGGCCTCTTAAAGCTGTCTTACTTTTGAAGCTTTATGAACATTGGGTGTTTTGACATTCAGTGTTCAGTTTTGGGTCCCTCACAACAAGAAAGACATTGAGGTGCTGGAACCTGTCTGGGGAAGGGCAAGAGAACTGGGGAAGGGTCTGGAGCACGAGTCCTGTGAGGAGCAGCTGGGGGAGCTGGGGGTGTTTAGCCTTGAGAAGAAACTCGGGGAGATCTTATCACCTTCTACAACCTCTTGAAAGGAGGGTGCAGCCCGGTGGGGTTGATCTCTCCTCCCAAGGAATAAGGGATAGGGCAAGAGGAAATGGCCTCAAGTTTCACCAGAGAAGGTTTAGATTGGATATTCAGAAAAATTCCTTATACAAGAGGTTTCCCAAGCACTGGAACAGGCTGTCCAGGGAAGTGATGGAGCCACCCCTGGAGGTATTTAAAAGCCAAGTAAATGTGGCACTGAGGGACATGGTTTATGGAGGGCTTGGCAGTGCTGGATTAATGGTTGGACTCTATCATCTTAGAGGTGTTTTCCAGCCTAGATGATTCCAATTCCATAGGTCTCTGGTTCTGGGATCTTCCCACACACACAGCGTGGGACCCTCCTGGCCCTGCTCTTGGGGTCTTTGCTGGGCACACAGATTTCCCCAGCTGCTCACACTCACTGCTGTTGTGCCACACTACATTATGGGGAAAGGGAAGTGAGATAACCACTGTCCCTGAAATGAAAAATTCACCATTTCATCACTGCAGGGCTACTTCCACCTTCCTGAGCAATACTGCCAGGCTCAAGATAAAATCTACAAACAGGTATTGGAGCAACATGTAAGTGGCTGTCCTGGTCAGCCCACCTTGGCCCGGGGTCCTGTCTCCAAGAGCAGTCACCAGATAAGAACTGTAAAACAGGGAGAAGGAGGTCGACAACCAAAATATGAACTTGATCTCATGTACCATCCCATTTTTCTGTCAGCCACTTGATGGCTTTGTGAACTAGAAGATGAACCCAGATCATTGCGAACCCTATAGCATCCTGTGGTAAAAATCGTGGCATCCTAAATGCTGCAGCATCCTGTGGCAGTGGATTGTGTGGTTCACTCATGTATACTGCATAGTAATGATAATCCTTTGTGCAGCACTGATTTCAATACCCAAATGTTGCATTTTAAGACAGAATATGTGGCCTTTTTTAGTGTGAGAGCCAAGCTGGTGTTTAATTCATTAAGAAAAAATAATATGCAAAACAGCAATATTTATCCATAGCATACAAAATGTAAATGCTTTGTGCTGTGATGTTTGGGTGTCATTAGAATAATTTTAAAGGCAAGTGATTTAATTGTGTTTGTGCTAATTATAATGTTTACAAATTAGGGAAAGATGCATTTAGTGGTCTGTTGGGAGAGAGCTTTGAAACCTCACATGTCTTTGAGCCTACAGTACCGTCATTTAGTCATAAACTCTTTCTAACACCAGGGTGATTTGCTTTTTAGATTATTCTTGCATGAAAAGCAAGTCTCAAGAGCCTTCAGCTCCATGGAATTCAAAACCAGGTTCATGTGTGTCTGTGTGTGCTCTGACAGAAATCTAACCGAGTTCCTTTCTTCTCCTTTTCAAGGTCCCCGTGTCCCGATGGTGACTGTTCACAACACAACGGATGCACAGAGTAAGAACGAGCTTGAGCTTTGCAGCTCTTCAGAGAAAAGCAGCCAGGCAGGACAGTGAGATGTCTCTTTGCTAAACTTACACTCCTGGGGACTCCAGACTCTGCCTAAATGCAAGATTTCTGCAAGGCAAAGGGACTTGCAGAGCTGTTGTACTGCCATCACAACAGCTGCTTTTTGGGGTGAAAACACACTGGTTGGGGAATGTTTGTTATCCTCTTTCTCAAAAAAATGCATATTTAAAGTCTCTCCCTTTTTGTTAGTCTTCCGCTGATTTTGTTTTGCATCCCATATAAAAGAAATAAGATAGTAAGATAAATATAAGGACTATTCAGCCTAATCTGTGGTTTTAATAAAATCATTCTGGTATGAATTATCAGAGATAATGCAGAGTGAGCCCCACAAGTGGTGCCTCTGCCTGTTTCCCTGATCTGTCCATGGAGATTGTAGCACTTATTGTATGGTAAAGCTTTGTCATGCTAATGATTTGCATATACATCAGTGCAAAGCTGGAATTACTCCAAAAACAGGTTTCTTCCCTCAAAATATTTGGCACTCTATAGCCATTACCAGACTGGCAATGTAGAGTCCAAAAAGCCATGGAGTTTCTGGGGTTTCACTCTGACAGAGTGTGGCACCGAGTCTCACATGAAATCAGAATTTATCTGCTCCCGTCATTTTGATGGAAAAACATCATCTTTCATTTTAACAAAGAATTTAGCCCAGCCTTAACTGCACTTAGGGACTTCAGGTGCTGATGTGACCCAAGTATTAAGCAACACCTATTCTATTTCGATCTGCTTTATACACAGTCAGTACCAGTTCATTAAGTATCAGTTTTACTTATCTGGATTTACAGAAACTCACTGCTCTTGTCTCCAAAGAAAAGAAAAAAGAGAGAGAACAAACTAAGAAATTTGGCACTCATACTAAAGATTTACTGTGAAATGCTGACCTGCTTCATTTCCTACTGAAGGCAGGGAGTGTCACAGGAAAGGCTCTTTGCAGAAGGGAGTGTCAGCTCCTTCCTCTTTCCAGCAGGGCCTGAGGTTGGCAGTGCCCTCAGCCAGGAGAGTTTCTTCACCCTGACCTGCAGCTCCAAAGTCACTTTCTTTCTCCTCCACTTTAAATAAAACACATTAATTTTACCCAGACATGGAGGTGTCTGACTGGCCATACCAGCATGGGATAGTGCTCTCATGGATGGTGTTATACCCACCTGTACAGTTCTACAAAATACATAGAGGTCAGTAAAAAGAGAGACAATATAAAACAGAAACAGTAAATGGAGGGCTTTAAAAACTAACACAAAACACACCAGGACTAGTTTTACTTTGACAGATGCATGTGGGTAGCATCTACTACACAGAGAACTCAATCTACCCATTGATGTGCAGAACACATCCTCTACTGAAATTCATGATCTTCTGCATACAATTACTATTTCCCTTGGTTCTTTTCTTTTTTCCCCCTCATTCTTTTGCTTTTGAATAAAGGGCAACTGACAGTTGCATGTGACTGAATTTACTTATTTAATATGAGCCCATTACTCTATAAAAGGGAGTTTGCCTCTGTATTCTGCAATAATCTGATAATAGCGAGTTGCACTGAATATTAGACAATGCTTACATTTAATTAAGCAATGACCATTCGTACCCCACAGACTTGAGCTCCCTGTGGTCCTAAAGCAAAAAGGAAAGTCCTTTAGGAGATATGCCAATCTTTTTTATTTCCTTCACAGTCTTCCTGGCTTTCTGTGAATGCAATTACATGAACAAATAAAACGGCTTGACTAAATTCCCCTACGTGGCAAGACCCTTTCTGCTGATAAAGCTACTTGTGTGTGCCATAATTAAATGAGAATCTTAATATTTAACTAAACTTAATAGGCTGTTGCTTTGCCACTTTTGTGGGGGTTGTGGCTTTGATAAAGAGCCAGGCGTTGCCGAAGCAGGGTGAACAGTCACTGAACCAATATACTACTGATGAAAGATCCCTGAAATATATTAACTGGAAGGGCAAGTTTTTGTCTGCCTGCCCAGCAGAGATGGGCAGTGAGAGCAGGATAATCAGCTACCAGAAGTGTTATTTGAGGAGTTGGGGTTACATATCTATTTATCAGTGTGTCTCAAATGGGGTTACAGTCAGTGACACACACACTGTGGTGTGAAATCTCACACCCTCCTTGGGCTCAGTGGCAGAGATAATGCCCTGGATCCCCCTGGGTCACACCCAGACTGATCCAGGGGAATGAGCACTGCAACAGACTCCCTAGTCCAGGATCCACTCACCCCAGCCCTTGAACACCCCCTCCATGGGGCTCATGATCTTTGCCCAGGCATGGAGACATTTCCCACCATGTAAGACACACAGCCTGAAGCGTCTCCTAAGAAGGGCCCTTTCCCTACCAGCTGGGAAGGACTTATTCTTTCTGGTGCTGGTGGTAGCTGCTTTTTCTAGAAGAGGCTCAGCAGGTAAAGCACATGGCCAGGATGAGGGGATAAAGGTTAAATCCCAGGAAGGAGGAAGGAATTCTCTATTTCTGACCCAGAGAGTCCTTGGCTAAGACACATAAGCAAAATGAAAAATTTTTGAAACACTCCAAAAGTCAAGATTGCTCCGAAACCTGATGTTGCAGGTTTGCATGAGCTTTGTTCACTCTCCTCTCCCCATGGCTTTCCTTGCCATGGATTTTTTCTTGCACAGCAGTACCACTTTGGCTGAAGCCCTCCATAGTCTCCTCCCCTTGCTATTTATTATGTATAACTTGGACACAGACTTGAGGACCTCTTCATGTGAGATCTGCCTTTGCATGGTGGGTGGATGTCTGACTGGGACCCATGGTAATGTCACCTTCCCACCTCCTGCAAATCTACTGAATGTCACTCCTTTCAGGAATATAGCTCTTTGCCAATGCAGATCTTGGAAGGGTTTTCAAAGATTTAACTGAATTAGACATCTGTGAGGACTAGAAGGAAATCTGTTTGTAAGGAAACTTGTTTTATATATATCAAAGTGACTATAAAATGTTAAAATGCATTTTCACAAACTGTGCCAAAAGTTTTTGTGATCTTGTCCTTCTTTCAGAAATTTTTGAGCTGGAGGTAAATGAAAATGTGCAGCTGGCTGTAAATGACAGGCAAATGCCTAAGGTAGAATACATGGAAATCAAGATAGATGATTACAGTAAGTAGCACCTTTCTTCTCACTTATTTTTCTCTTTCACTGCTATAGCTGTGAAATGATACAGCCGTCCTGGGTAGACTGGCAGGAGGAAAAATGACTTTGACTCTCAATAAACTCACACAGTTTGCAAAGCACTCTCCTGGAATGTGCTACATAAGGAGGTTATTACAGAGGCAGAATTTGATGAAAATTCAGCTGAAGAAAGGCAAAATGATAGGGTTGGATTTTTTTTCCTCTTACAATTTTCTTTGTGAAGAAAAAGCCACTCTAGGAAATGACACGGTGGGGTGCCCCCTTGTTGGAAGCGTTTGCCCTGGGTGTGTGTGTGTGTCATTTGAAATGGGTTTGGAGTGGGATAATGTGTGTGCTTGCTGGCTACAGCTGTGGCTGCCTCTCAGTGCACAATCTGAGCTGCAGTGAATGAAGATGACTCTCACATGACTCTGCCCATTGGAGTCACTCAGGATCCTTCAGAAAAAGCCACATTATATGGGAGGGTTTTAAAAAAAGGGGCTTTATGAGAAAAGACAAAGGAGATTTCACCTGGAGTAAAGAAAGCAGACACTTGGAGCAGTTTGCACCTGCAGCTGGTGTGTTATTTCTACAACTTGTGTAATCATTCCCCACATATATATATTCCAAAGAGAGAAAGAAAAGCTTGGTGGCAAACAGCCAAAATGTACGCCTGTCTCTGTAGTTGTACCTGAAACAACCTAAAAAAATATATCTCCCCTGGCTGTAAGCAGACACCTTCCCCCTATGGGGAAAACCCACATACTCAGATATGCACAGAGGCACCCCAAAATCCCAGCCTGCATGTATGGTGGCAACTCTGGAAAAACCCCAAAGACTCTGTGTTCAAGATGTGGCTCATAATGTTTCCCAAGGCAGAAAGGAGTGTATTTCTCAGGCCATAGCAGCAAAGTGAAAGCAGCCAGCTGTGCTGGGGGGCAGGTCACTGATTTCAGCCGTTTCAGATGTTATAAAATGTGAAGCAAAGGCTGAGAGAGGGTTGCCATTTGAAAAGGATAACAATGGCCCTAAAATGTTCTGTTTGCCACATGGGCATAAGGAACATAAACCAGTGCATAAAATAACAGGAACAGACATGCACTCCCAGGTTTTATGGACAGGAAAGGATGGATAAAGAGCCCATATTTCCCCCCATGAGCCAGCTCATGTGAGACTGGCAGTTGATTGGGGATAACTCAGCTTGATACTAAATTTTTTAAATGCAGGCCTCATTGCAATTCTGCTCATTTAACCAAAAATATACTTGTGTGTAATAAACACAAACTGGCCGCAGCCACATGGCCATTCTGCTGTGCCATCCCTGTGTTTCCAAAGCTTTGGGCTGAGCAGCCTTGGGAACACTGCATATAGTAATATTTAAAGTTGAGCAGTGGCCTTTTTGGCTGTCCCTGGGCCATTGATCCAATTTGCAGCTATTAGCATTCAGATGGAATAACTAATTAGGCAGAGTGTCAGGTAACGATTGCAAAGCAAACCACTTAAACCATGCTGCTAATCTGTGTATTAATCTCCTGAAAATGCTCCTAATACCGATTTAATTGCTGGGCCTTTGCTAATCTAGACTGTAGTTAATATTTCAAAAATAAACGTGCTGTCGTTGATGCAGAGAGGGTTTGTATGGAGGCAGTTTTGGCTACGGATACAAAGCCACAGAAATGACATTCAGTTAAAAGAAGCTTTAGTGATCACATCCCTCCTTTACGTTGGTTCTGTACCAGTGTAACAGCTTGGGCTTCAGCACCTTTGCCTCTCGTCTACAAAATTTAACCCTTTGGAAGTGAGGGTTGAAATACTTGTTTCTCCCTCTGTCTTCACACCATTATAGCAAAATAATTCTGTTTCCCTCCCCCAGCCACCATACTTAATTGGGTTTTAAATTACTATTTTCATTGCCAATTTTCCTCCTTCTCTGCTGCCCTGAAATATTGATTTCTGTCTGCGTCACTCACCCAGATGCCAAAAAAGGAAAATTATAGATATTGACAGATGTTAATTGAATGCTGTAAGAGTGATGCATGACTGAGCAGCTTGCACTGTACTCCCCATTTACATTTCTTGTCACCTCAGCTATCACAATATGGGTCTTTTCTTTGGCAACATCTGTGTTTCTAAGGTAATATTTGCCACAGCCTCTGAAGAAATGCCATTCTGCTCCTACTCATCTGTGGCTAAAACACCAGAAAAATCTATTGGAATCATGTCAGCATTCCCATATCGAAGACATGTTATTATTTGTTCTTTTTTTGCTTAGGATTGCCAATGCAGATCTTGAAGCCAGCAACCTTCGCGGACACCGCACACTACCCCTTGCTTTTGGTTGTGTAAGTTCTCGCTTGTCCTTTCTTTCTGTTCACATTATCAGGGCAGCTTGGAAACCTTGGCCATGATCAGAAACTTTAAAGATATGTTTTGCACAAGGAATGCCAGAGTCCAGCACATTGGTCCCTACCCTGTCTCACTTGACAGCTGGGAGAGGCCAGACACACATCCCTTCTTTCCCATGTTTGAGCCGAGGTTTTCAGCTCCCAGGAGGGCACCCAGTTGAAATCCTGCAGAGTAAATTGGGAATTTTGTGAAGGTGTTTCATGTACACTCAGTCATTTGTGGGGCAGAAACAGGAGGAGGAGGAATACAGATATATTTTGACTTTCTGTCCCAGTGCTTAGGGAACCCACTCTGTGATTAACAGGTAATTTTAGAGTGGAATTCAGTCAGCCTTACTAGAGCTTAAATTTTAGGTGTCCTCATGCAGAAATCATTCCCTTGTAAGTGCTGGTGCTCACTGAAGTGACAGTAAAAAGAGAGCTGGAAACCTTTGAATACCTCCACAAAGTTAGCATTTATATTAGATGGGTAGGTTTTCCTCCTGGCGGGCAGAGCAGACGCATATTTCTTTATGCAACATTTAGTAACAATAATACACATTACTGGGGGGTTTTTTGGCAATTTGGAAAGAAGTTGCAGTAGGGAATTCACTGACCTTGGAAGAACCTGTTTGGCCCTGGCTGCATCCCAGTGCATCACATGCTGCCTGCAACACCCCATGAGAGGAAAGCCTCATGCAGGAGGGATGAATGCCTGGTGGATGCCTGTGCCACCCTGCACAACTCTCCATGAAGGACAAAGCCACTGCAGCGAGGGTGTCGTTACATCACAAAATTACTGCGGAGAAAATGTGCTTCATTATCAAAGTGCTCGAGGAAGATTGGTTCTCATCAAGTGCAGGGCACTTGATTAGGCTGCCTCTGGAGCTGGGTGGGCCGGGGTCTCGCTTGGATGAATGCAAATAACTGGAGTCACATGTGCATTAGAGTCCTGCAGTGAAGTGCCTGGTGTCTCTGAGAACCCCAAAAATGACAAAAAAGTGGATAAAAATGCCAGTGGCTCTACAGTAATCCCAGCCCTAAATTATTGTTTAAAGTTGTCATCATCACTGTCCATTGTTTTTTCTGAGCTGAAGTATGGTCTGTATTTCTCAAGACAGTTCCCCTGTACAGGATCAGACCCTAAACAGAAGGGTGAAGAGGAGGTCTTGCCCACCCCTTTCCCCTTCTCACCAATTTTGGGCCAACTAGGCATTATGAAGCTGTTTTTTATAACTTTAGAAATCATTTCTGTCTGCACTTGTGTGAAGCAGTGATAACAGAACCACTTCAGCAGAAAATAAAAAAGACCTTTGGGGAACATAGAAAATAGATATACATTAGAGCAGACATAAAAAGGGAAAACTCGACAGGTACCTGTGTCACTGCCCTGGTTACTCACAGGAGGAAGCCTGACCAGTTAGAGATGTGCTTGCTGGTGTTGTTCAAACCTCAGCTTAGAGCCTGCTGTGCACAGAGGGAGGCAGAAACCAACCTGCAGCTTCCACCCAGCCTCAAAACCCATCCCACACAATCAGCCTCCTGCATGCCATCCTTGCAGAGACTGCTGTCCCCTTCCACAAACCTGCCATCCCTTACCCTGCAGGATGGGTGCCTGACCCTGCAGGACTGCCCCATCCCATGACAATCCCCCAGCTCTGGGTGCTGTTGCCTCTCCTTGATGCCCGTTTCTGTTCCAGAGATGGGACACCCGGCAGCCAGATCGTCACGGAGAGGTTTGAGGTGACGTGGGAGAGCGTCATGGTCAGCTCCCACAACGCCATCGTGCTCAAGTTCGACGGCCGTGGCAGCGGCTTCCAGGGCGCCAAGCTCCTGCACGAGGTCAAGAGGAGGCTGGGCCTTTTGGAGGAGAAGGATCAGCTGGAAGCTGTCCGGTGAATGGCACTGTTATTGGAGAAATTAATTCATTGTGATAATTAACCCAAGACTCATTAGTCCTGGTAGCTTTAATAGCATAGAGCTAGGGGATGGGAGGGAGGGACAACGTGGTTGTACAATTGCAACTGCATGTGAGAGGGAGCTCATGTCAACCAGAGCAGAAGGGAGAAAAACAAGCCTTAAACAGAGCTAAATTAGAGCACACTTATCTGTATCACATGTTCAAAGCCTATTTATTTTTAGCTCTGTACAGTCGTACAGCTACAAACAAGTAAGCTTGAATATCTGTTCCTACATTAATCTTTTGCTTGCCTGGTAGTTGGAAAAAATCCTTTTAAAAAACTTTTTAAACAGAATAATCAGGGCAAAACCCTAAATGTCAAGTCCTGTCATATGGTTAGATTTATTCTGCACATAATCATGTTAAAACCACTATCAGAGTATTGCAATAGCTGTGCAATAGCTCATTATGGCTTCCAGAGGTAGAGCAGGTTATTTCTTGCCATTGCTTGGTCAAATCCAGCACTTGAGGTTGCAAGATTAAATCAGACAGATCCATGTGAAAGCAGCTTGGACCAGCTTGATTTAGATGGTCTGCATCAAGGGGAAAGGGCTTTAAACTGAAAGAGGGGAGGTTTCTATTGGATATTGGGAAGAAAGTCTTAACTGTGAGGGTGTGAGAACTGGCACCGGTTTCCCAGAGAAGCTGTGGATGCCTCATTCCTGGAAATGTCCAAGGACAGGTTGAATGGGGCTTGGAGCAACCTGGTCTAGTGGAAGGTGTCCTTGCCCATGGCAGAGGAGTTAGAACTGGATGATCTTTAAAATCCCTTTCAACTCAAACCATTCCATGATTTTTTTCTAGGACCAGTTTAATTTAAAGCTGATTAAAATCACAGTTTTTTCCCTTGAAGGGAAAAGTATTTTTAACCCATTGCTTTCTCTTTTTCATGTTCTAGGACCATGCTGCAGGAGCATTTCATTGATAAAACGAGGGTCGGTGTCTTTGGGAAGGTAATGCTTTGCCATTGCTCCTCTGTGCTGTCCCAGCTGGCTGATATGGCTAAACAACTGAGTTAAACCCTGACTTATTGAATATGTCAGTGGTGACTTTTTTATTATTATTTCATTTTGGGATAGACTGCACCTTGGTCAGTGATGTTAAAGGTGGAGGCTTTCATTCCACCAATGTATTCATCAATGACTTCTTTTAAATTAATTTCCAAGTGCAAAAAGTGACTGTTGCTCAGAAAACATCATCAGATTGTTCATTTTTTTTTTTCCATTGCAAACGTTCATTTCATTTTCACCTTGTCTCCTTAAAGCCTGTGGGAATGTGGGTAAATTTAACTCATGTACAACAACCCTGTGGATTTCTGAGGCTGATTTGCCATGTGTGCCTGGCTGGGAAACAGCCACAGTAAAGTACACACAGTTTGAGATGAGAGTGGGACTGCGAGTAGAAAATTGTTTACTGTGGGAGACAGGGGCTTGGAGTGGGCGAAGAGAGCTGCACGGAGAGCAGCATCTCTGCAGGGAATTGTTAACAGGCTGGCAGCAGACGCTGAATTGTGATGCTCATTTTGAGTAGAGAAAATCTGGGGTAAGCGTTTTGGAGAGGTAGCATATCTGGTTAGAGCTGTAGCTATGAAGTGAGATGAAAAATGCCAGCTCTTGGGCACACAACCCTCCTGCCTTCAGGAGTGTGCCAGCCACATGACCAGGGAGAGGTCCCTTGTTCTCTGGTTTTCCAGGGCAAGGTGTTAAAAGCTCTGTATTTTTGCAGCATTTGCTGCAAGGTCTCAGCTGCCCTGTTTCTGTACCCAAAGGTAGCAGTGCCTCCCAGCTGGAGCACTGACACCCTGTCCCATTTCTGCTACAGGATTATGGTGGTTACCTGAGCACTTACATGCTTCCAGCTGGTGAAGACAACCAGGTGTTCACCTGTGGAGCTGCTCTTTCCCCAGTGACAGACTTCAGACTGTATGGTAAATCCCATTCCTCAGCCCACTCCTGCTGGCCACAAACGATGTTTCTTCTCTATCCTTTCCCACTTGCCGTCTTTCTTTCCCAAGATCCTGCTTGGTTTATATTCTGTGTCTTTTTAGGAGTAGCCATAGACCCTTTTTCCCCACTAAAGCAATTTAACTGGCACTGGTGGGACCAGCCATGGTAGTCAGAGTAACCAAAACACTTTATTACTCCTTTTAAATAAAGGAGAATTGTCTTTAAACCCCTCCAGCCTTTATCACCAACCACCCCCACTGCCTTGAACGTGCTTCCCTCCTGCCTGAAGCACCCATCCATGCAAGCTGTGATCCAGTCTGCCTGGCCCATCCTGCCTCTGACCACAGCACTACCCTGCATGTGATGCTCCTTTCTCTCAAGGATAGCAGTTCCCTTTGCATTTTGCACCAGTGATAATCAGGGGGCTGGCAGGGAAGTCTGTGGTGTTCAGCCAGACTTCAGGAGCTGTACAGTTATCCCTGAGACCAAAGGGAACTTGCTGCTGATGGAGAAGGCCCCGTGTGACAGGAGAAAGGTGCACTATGTGATAGAGCTCTTCTGTCTCAGTTGCATTAAAAAAGAAAGAAAAAAAAAAAAAAGGTTTTTCTGTGACTGATTGAGACACCAGAAGTACATGGTGACAATGACAAACATATCCTTAGTGCATTTTCAAAAACCTTTAGAAATGCATCCTCTATAAATAATGGCATGTTAGAAAATAAGGAGCTTTTTAGCCTTTGCAATATTTGACTCAGAAGCACCATTGTATTCATGACTGAAAGTGATATTTTAATTTTTTTCTCTTCAAGCTTCAGCCTTTTCTGAAAGATACTTGGGCTTGCACGGGGTTGATAACAGAGCATACGAGGTAACTGCATGGACACTGCATTTCCCTGATAAAATGTGAACTGGGTCTTAACTCTCCCTCCACGTGCTCTCCTTTGGGGCCAAAGCAAGGTTATGCAAGAGGCACTGAAGGTGTCCTTCAGCCTGCTTACTGCTTTTCTTGTCTTAATAGTAATCATGGATAAAGTTTTTATTGATTAGCCCTTGTGTCTGCCTCTCTAAATTGGGTAAATACAGTTTTAGAGATTGAAAGAGCTGAGTGACTCAGATGTGCCCAAGAGGACACAGTGTCACGACCTCCTTGAAGGTTCTTGCCAATGATCTTGCCACTTTGATTCTCTCTGAGATAAACAAATTCAAGTGAAACTCAGCTTGACTTTCTCAAACTTTGTGATATTTCAGGTAGGTAAAGCTCTGTGCCAGAACTGAGCAGGATATGGAAAATGAAACACAGCACCAGTTAATAAAGATATGGTTAAATATACCTGATGGGATCAGTTGGATCCTGTGCTGAAATTTGGAGGCAAAACCTGATAAAGAATAGTCACACAGAGAAAATTTGTTACAGAGAAAATCTAGTTCTAAGCCTTGTCTCCAGCCAGAAGACATGAAGGCAGCAAAAGTCTGGCACTGTTGTCACAGAGAAAGCAGATACCACCCTGTGCCCTCACAAGGGAACATTTATCCTGGCTACCTAAACTCTGAGTTCATTGCCTCTCAGATTTTGTACTCATAATCTCTACCTTAGTGCAAACGCCTTTTGTTCTTCTAGAAATTGTTTGTATTTATATTTCCTTGTGCATCTAAAAGACAGCTGGGAGCAAAGTTGTTCTCAGCAGTGGACACTTGAATTTCACATCAGATCTTCCCCCAAGCTGTCAACTCACTGAGGATGGCTTTCAAACCACACCAAAGTCCCTCCAGATCCATGAAATGTGCTTAGGCACAGACACCTGGGCACACTTTTCATTGGTGCTTTTTACTCACTTTGGTATTTTCCATGTGTTCTACAGTTCAGGCTTTTATTTAACATTATCAAAGAGGGTCTCTGACATGTTCCTGCTGCTGACACTGCCCTGCCAGCACAGGGTGGGGGTCTATTTTACCTCTAGATTTATATAAGTAGCCTGGAGAATATGCTGTGCTGGTGTCTGCTTGTTCTCCTGGTGATAAAGTATTAAGTGGAAATAAGCACTTCTATTGCTTCCATATAAATTGCTAATTTCTAGCAAGTTTTTTAATCTTATTACAACCTTTACCTTCACAGATCAGCAAATTATCACACAGAGTCTCATTACTAAAGGAGCAGACATTTTTGATCATTCATGCTACTGCTGACGGTAAGTTAGCCCATCATTTTAGTTCATTATATGTTTGTGGTAGCTTTGATTTTTGTTAATTAAATTTGTGATTTAATGATTGCAATCTGTTTTTACAGAAAAAATCCATTTTCAGCATACTACGGACCTTATCACACACCTAATTAGGGCAAAAGCTAATTACAGCTTACAGGTACTGTATATGTTTCTTTTTCTTCTATTTAAACAGTTATTTCCCTATTTGAACTCAAACTGATGTTATGAAACAAGGCTTGAAAAACCAGTTGCAAATTCAGCCTGGCAGCTGAAGTAGCACCAGCATATAACATGTTTGTATTAGTCCCATGTCTCTCTGACATCAGTGTTTTGGTCTGGACAGTTGTAGGACCATTATTGAATTATAGTAAATTAGGTTGTGAGAGACATATCCCTAAGAAATTTATGCCTGTTGACTTTCTTTGGGACCAACACAACAAATTCAGGAAGAATTTCAGTTCTAAATTAAATCAACCAGAAAAGTTAAGAAGATAGATGTCACTGAAATCTGACATCCCACTATGAATGGCACAGCTCCACTTTCCACCAAATTATATCTCTGATATTTTGCTGAATGGTCCATGTGCAAGCCATTAAATCTTTCAAAATGAACCCACCCTAGAATCCCTGCCTTGACAACCCATTATGATCCTCTTGCATTTCTTCAAGTTACCTGCTCCATTAAAATGAAAAGTTGGGTTTAAATTATTTCATTTCTGGCTTCACAGAGGTTCTTGGTTTTTTTCAATTTAATTACTCCTCCAGCAATGTTTATTAATTTTTTTTCACTTAATGGCATTTTTGCTTTAAAGCCCTCATTTTAGTCAGTATAACCTAATGCCATTTCTCTCCAAAACTGCTTGTTTTTTGGTCTTTACAAGGAAAGTGTGGGCTGGTTCTTCTTAGACTGACCCTGTTCAGAAGGGAATTGAATGGAAAATCCTCCACCACAAAAAAAGTTCCTTGTGAAGGAAGATGCAAGTCTGCACTCGGAGCACCGTGCTGTCCAAATTACCCTGGGCCTCAGGAGCATCCCTGGGAAGCCCAATGATGCTGAGGAGACACAGTGGGTTTGCAGCTCAAGCTGCAGGTGTGGGTGGTCAGTCCTGAAACTTTAAGCTCTAAAAAGTGTGTATTTACCTATTTTTTTTTCAGATTTACCCTGATCAAAGCCATTACTTCGGCAATGCAGCATTTGAGCAGCACTTGTACCAGTCCATTGTCAACTTCTTTGTGGAGTGTTTCCAGGTTCCAGACAAACTCCCACTAGCCCCACTGAAAGAGGAGGAGGAGGATGATTAACCCTACTTGTCCGTGCTAAGCACAAGGCAGATCTCTCTGACAATATGCAACTGGATCATTTTCCTGAAGAAAGAGATGTTGTTAGCATGTATTTAAAAAAAAAACAAAAACAACAAAAACTGAAAGCAGCTCCTCTGCTTTACTTGACAGCAACTCCTTCCTAAATGGAAGAACATTAAGCATGGTGAACTCAGCAGAAACTGCTGTCTGAAATTAATCCATCACAACCAACATCTTCTTTTTCTTTGTTTTTTTTGTTTTTGTTTTTGTTTTTTTTTGGGGGGGGGTGGTTCTTTTTTTCTTTTTTCTTTTTTTTGCGTTTGTTTTTGCTTGCCACAAAATGACTTATAGAGTGAAAATGGTAAGATGTTGAACTTGAAGGAACACCCCAAGAAACCACTTTGAGGACTGGAGGATTTAATGTCTCTCTGCAGCCAAGCAGTCAAGCAGTAGCAGTGAAATCCATCATCCACATTAAGGTTACTATAGTTAGCATCACACTGTGTCAGAAAAAAAAATCTAATACATGGGAGAAGATTATAGCACAATTATTTTAAAGGATACAGATTCATACTCTTGCCTGCTCTTTTCCATCTTCGGGAGGTTTGTCATTGCTACAGGATACACAAATCCAATTGTGCGAAATATCACCATAGTTACACCGATCTTTACCTTCCTGTAATTATTTTGTTAATTCTGTATGGCTTTTACTTCTGTTGTTCATTGGGTCTCATGCTTACCTTATTAGCTTCTCAGCTTGTTCTGGATGGGGAAAAACCATAAAACAAATTAACAAACTCACTTTAGACCTCAGGGGTCTAATGAGGCAATGGGACTTGAGCTACCCAGATATTAAAAAAATCTATTGGAATAAAGCAAAGAAAAACTCATTCTTCCGTTCCCAAAATAGCTTTGCCAGCAAGATTGAGTATTTTCTTTGGCAGCCTTGAAAAATATGCACATAAATAAGCTAAATCAAGCTTACATTGAGATATTTTTTATTGCGATGTAGAAAAATATGCGACAGTCATGATTATTCTTTCTCTTTCTTTAGTGTTGGAACAAATGGTTGGCAACCTGCTAGGGAACAGCTAGGTGAGGCTGTGGTACAGGGATTTGTACCAGGGACCTTACAGATCATCTTATAAAGCCATTTAAACAGAGACAATGTGCAGAGATTTATTGCACGTGCTGTCTGTGGCTTAGTTTTATTCCAGGTCATTGATTCGCATACTCCAAACACATTTAATTGTCTCTTCTGTTCACACTAGTTTTGACAACCATAAAAGAGAAAAAAAACCCCACAAAAATAAAAAAAAAAGAGGATTTTTTGCTTTAAATGGTCTAACTGTTCATTTTAGCAGTGGAAAGCAACTTTTAAAACTTCTTGTGAAAACATTCAGCTCTCAGAAAGAAATCCAACCTCCATCCACTTCCACATACTGCATCATAAGAGTTTTGACAGTGTCGCTCCTTGTAAAATATTCTGACCAAATGTACAGCCAGTATTAATACTGTATATTTCATTTTGTTGTATATAAAGGAATGTAAGTCAGCTCTTTGTCAGATCCCCAATCCAATATTAGTCTTGTGTTCAACATGCATGCGGTAACACTTCTTTGCTGATCAGGACTCCTTAGAAGCACTAGCTTGGAAATATAACAATTAATGTAATTTCTTTTCTTGTTTTAACAGCTTGAATGTCAATGCCGGTTCCTACTTTTTACATAGTACTGTGGGTAAACTCACATCCTGACAGCAATGATGATGTTTCCATTGTGTTCTTTAGTGTGTCTTTTTTCTTACCTTTATTTTAAGCTTTGAATGTTGGTTGTACTTTGACCACCATGAAAAAAATATATTGATAAACCACAGAAATTACCTAGTTTGGTTGGGATTATCTCCTTTAATTTACAGTGCATCGACATTGTGTGAACAAGAACTACGGTGTAAATCTGCTTTATCTGGCAAAATGCCAAATAGACCATGAGAATGCTGCGTGTCCAGATTTTGCTACGCTGAACAGGCTCGAGAGCCTGAAATGAACTTGAACTGAGAAATGTAAAAATCTGCTCTGTCCACAATCTTTTGTAGAAAGAACTTTAGGATGTGGCATGGTAGTGTTTGTTCATTCATGGAATAAAACATTATTTTACCACCCTGGTTGCTACTGCTGTTGTTTTTTTAAGTTATTAAATAAGCATCAAGTTGCTGGAAGTGCTGTTTCTGGTTGAATTGAGCCCAAACTGGCAAGTGCTGACTTGCTGCACATCATCAGTGCCAGGGTGTTGTCCCATCAGCCAACACCCACTAGACCAAACCAGATTTAGAGGAGGAGAAATTTAATATTTCACAGTAAAACCAAGAAATGATTGAGGACACTTACTCCAATCTTTGTCTCCAGCAGATCAGGAAACAGGAAAATGGAGCACTGGGACAGGGAAGGACAGATTGCAACAGTACAAAATAGCTTTGCTGTTATTTTGTTTAATTATCTAAATGCAACTAGTATTTTTTTATTGTCCAAACAAATCAAGCTTATATTCTCAGCTCACTGGCATATCTGGATGCCATAATGTTCAACTGTGGCATCCCAAAGAGGAAGAGAACTAATGAGCAGTGCCCTACTAATTCAGATGGAAACCACAGAGGGAAAAATGAAGCATTGCTGGTAGCTAATTAACAAAGCCAGGCAGCCAGCCATGTTTGTAATTGTCTATGGGTTCAGGCAGAGAGCTCATAAACCCATCCAAGCTTACGAGCTCAAGCCAAATGAACGCTGCTTCTTTGAAGGGTGGGAAGGAAGAAAATTGAGTGAATGAGAAAGGGCATGTGGGATGTTCCCATGGGAAGACCAGTGGAGTCTGCTGTTTGCAATGGGGAAAATGGCATTTAGTGGGGGAGAGTGAAGGTACAAGGCCAGAGCTGGTACCTGGGACATGCTCCTGCATTTGCTGTCATGCCCATGTTGTCCCAAACCTCACTTGGTTTGCTGAATGGTCCATGTGCAAGCCATTAAATCTTTCAAAATGAACCCACCCTAGAATACCTGCCTTGACAACCCATTACGATCCTCTTGCATTTCTTCAAGTTACCTGCTCCATTAAAATGAAAAGTTGGGTTGAAACTATTTCATTTCTGGCTTCACAGAGGTTGTTTTTTTTCAATTTAATTACTCCTCCAGCAATGCTTATTAATTTTTTTTCACTTAATAGCATTTTTGCTTTAAAGCCCTCATTTTAGTCAGTATAACCTAATGCCATTTCTCTCCAAAACTGCTTGTTTTTTGGTCTTTGCAAGGAAAGTGTGGGCTGGTTCTTCTTAGACTGACCCTGTTCAGAAGGGAATTGAATGGAAAATCCTCCACCACAAAAAAAGTTCCTTGTGAAGGAAGATGCAAGCTCTGGATGTTTTAACTTCACGTGTTTGGTCTCAGGGCACATCTGCCCTGCTGTCCTTCCTGGGGCTGGCACAGAGCTGCCAGACCTGCCTGGCTGGGGGCTGGCTGAGGACAGCTTTCTTCCTTGACCTGAGAAAATGCTGACTCCCTGTGGTGCTCATTCCTCTCGGGACTTCTTATCTGCTTTCCACTGGCAAATGAAGAGCAAATGGCAGGAATGGAAAAGACAACAGAAAAACTCAAGATCTCAGTTGCCAAATCCTTAATCACGTTGCCTTGCTGAGCCTAATGTTTGCTTATTTTTATTCTGCTCTCTAAAGCTCCCAGCTGGAGGCTCAGAATAGAGCTTAGGGCACTTGCTAAGGTCTGCCTCCTCTTCCCAATTCATCTTTCCATCCTCTCCCCATTCAGCATTAGAGGTTACAGTCTGAAAGCAAACCCAGCAGCCCTTTGGAAACTAGGAAGAGACAGATATAAAACCAGTATGGTGAGCCCCTCAATAAGCCATAAGCTAAATAAATTCTTTATTCTAATACCTAATTCATTATTTTTTTTTTTCTTTTTGCTTAGAGACATTCATGAAAAGTCTCAGATTAAATGATGCTACATTCTGCCTCCTCACTGGAAGAAATGCTTTAATCAAGATGTCCATTTCCATGACTGAGAGCAAAGAAGAGTAAAAAGCAAATACAGATAGAACAAGGCCCCAGGAAAGCACAAAAGTAAATGGTGCTCCAGTATTCCTGTAGAATAG